GATAGACTTTTTTGGTGAAGTCAAAGGTGACTTGTATCCTTATAACCTGTGCCTTGACCTCGGGCAAATATGATTATGTGAATTTTATTAAAAAATAGTTACCGATCCGTATTGGGCTCTTCGTTTCATTGCAAACTTTAAATGGCGACCTTGAAATCTAGGATATTATCGTTTAGAAATAATATTCGACTAAACCGTCACAGAATCGGTAGTTGAAGATATCATATTATATTACTGCTTGAAGAATTTTCCATTACCAGTGAATAACTTGAGCTGAAGCGTATGCTATTTATGTTACAGGATTTTCTGCTGACGAATCTCTCCAAGGAGGTGTACAAACCGAATACAATCAATTTCTCCGCCCAAACCAGTGCCAACCAAACACAAAATATCATCATTTCAAAACTGGATAGACGCAGGAAAGGAGTCTTTGGCCCACCCGTCGGTAAGAAAATCGTTTTCTTCGTTGACGATCTGAACATGCCCATACGAGAGGTCTACGGTGCCCAGCCACCGATCGAGTTACTGAGGCAATGGCTAGACCATTGGAATTGGTAAGTCACACAATATTAGGCTCATTCACAGCCTATCAAAATCTTAACGAGCTTCTTATATGGATTTCGATAGTTAGTATTTATGAATAATACAGGATATTTTCCAATAATTTAATTTACCCTAATAAATGAAGATTAAAACTGGACACTAGTGTGATAAACGATGCATATCGGGTTAGTAGAAAAGTGTACTTTTGCGAAGCTTTAAAGCTCAGGACATAACACAGCAAACGAAACTATAGGCCCGTTCAATTTTCTGTTAAGACGAAGATGGGCAGTGGGAATGGTCATCAAGAAAAAGCATAAAACTATATTATGTAATTTGCCGCCTCAAATCAATTGAATTTGACTACTTCCACGCTTCAATATGTGTACTAAATAAAGAAAAGTGCTCTGATGTGAAGAAATTATCCGAAGCTCTTGATATTTCATCAATATTTTCTCTAAAGATTAAGGGTATGTTAATTACTCACCAGACTGCAGTTTTATAGACTCTATTACATGCTAAATTCGAGATTTCGTCTTTTGCGCCAATA